TGCGGTGCGCACGATGATGTCTCTCGTAACGGCGGTCATCATATCAAGATAAATACCATATTTAACACCTTCGGGCGGTTACCTGGCAATGTACATTGCTTTTTCCAACGTATCGAAATCGAAATATCGGAAAGATATTTGTCGAGGCCAACAACTAGCAGCCAATAACGCAACGATGCGACGATTCCATGTTTAATTAGCAATAATTCCCGCGCCATATGGAACCCTATGAAACCATATGCAACTATATGGAACCATGTGGAACCATATGGAATATAAATATACCAGCGCTCTAATTATTTACCGTAAAGTTGAAATAATCGCGATAAACTGCTCTATTTATTACGGTGCTAATGAAATTTCAAAATGTTTCCTACGACGCGTTCGAATAAACGGTAAAATATTTAATATAAACGGTAAAAATTAGTATGCTGCTATTACAATAATATACATTATTTGCTTTCTTGCTTCTTTAATTATGACAATCTACCTGTATAATTAGATATATTTAGTCAATCACTCGCATACAGCCGACTGTTTCTCGATAATAGAAACGTTCGTTGAAAAATTGCGCGGTACAAAAACGGTGAAAAATATCGCTGCTTTACGATTTACATCGCGTCGACGAGCAACGAATTTTTTCTCCAGCAAGTTCGTTCGTCTAGCTGTATAGTCTCTCGAATATCGACTATACAGCTAGCATGCGAACCTGTTGCACCTTACGCGCCTTCTTATTAAACGCAACCGTTGACGCTCACAGTCGTCAGGAACATGGAGCCTTTTGTCGCGAACGCGCAATATAATTGCAGCTTTTACTGGCAAACGCGTGGACAGTACGTAACCCGATCATGGTCTCGAATCGAACGCGGATCAAAGACTCGATTGTATCGCGAGCTTCGTTAGACGCAGTTTTAGTCGAGATAAGGTTCGTCCGTCACAGCGAGCAGTATCGTATTCGCGGGACAACTCCGCTAAAGCAGCGAGCCACTGAACAAGTAAGTAAGTGTTCTCGGTATCCTCGTCTCCTTCGCGACCGTTGCGAGCCGTTCGAAACGTTACAACTTAAAAGAGTGATTTTAAGAGTGATTTAGAAGAGTCGATTTTGTCAGCCGATGATAAAATGCTTTAAAATCGGACATTTCCCAGAACGCGGAACGCGGAACGCGGAACGCGAAACGCGAATTCTACTCCTTGTTTCGACGATGCAGACTTCTTAGAAAGACGAGTCGCCACGATAGGGCGTTTCGCGGCCGCAGAATCCTTCGATAATCGGCTACACCGTCAATAACTTTCAGTGACGCGCAATTATCGTGTTACCACCAGCAAACACCACCGTCTTTGTAAAAATCTCTGTGGAAAACATCGATTGTTCGATGTAAAAACGTGTAAAAAACGAGAGAAAATAGAAAACTTCGGCATTTCCGAATGCTCGTAAAAGCATGATCGTCGCATCTCGACGCCGTGTCTTCCGCAAGTTCGATTCCTCCCACGCACGAATCGAGGATCAGCCATTTTTTTAGGTCGTTCGACTCGTTTCACCTTGCAAAACGATAGCTCGCTGCGAAACGAAGCAACGCGACGTAGAAGCATAGTTTAGGGGTCGGAGAAGATTTCTGGTGGTGGCAAGAGAGAGACGGAGATTGACAGAAAGAGAGTTAGAGGGG